AACCCATAGTGCTTCACCTTTGCAATATATGACCAAGGAATACCATCATCATTCATAGCTTCTATCACAAGAATATAATATTGATGATTAGGTAAGGGGTTGTCGATAATATCGGACAGACCGTTCACCACACGCTTGTAAATTAAACAATGTCCCTGCTTGTTTTTCCATCCCACTGCAGCCCGTGCAGCTTGTTGTACTTTTTGGTGGTCGACATCCCTAATTGGAAATGGAACGGGAGGAAACACTTCTTCACCACTCATTTTGGAACAACTTTGATAGAAGGTTTCAACAAACTTGCTTTGCTCATCAATACTTTGGAATTCAATATTTATAGTCGTGGCTGAACGCTATTCAAATTGATATAGTCGAATCTTACAACAAATATTAATTGAGCATTCCTCTCTTATTTTTCAAAGATAAAAAAAGGATTATTCTCTCAAATATGGTTCGGTATTGATTATTCTCTTTAGAGTGAATTTTAAGTTAAAACACAATTTTTACTTCAGTAATTAAATTTTAATTTGATCAAGTAAACTAGGGTTTCAAATGAATGGTTGAATTTGATCATGTCACAACCTAGAATTTCGACGCATCGAAATTACCAGATGTGACTCGACAGACTATGCAATGCATGAAAGTAGAAGAAAAATGAAATGCAAAAATTTCAAGTATAAAATTTCTTCGCGAGTATTAAAGTGTTCAAGTAGAAAAGAGTTACATTATATAAAATGGAAAAGAAAAAAGATCGGGGTATATGATGAAATAAATGCGTAGTAAATAAAGGTAAACTAGACAGACGTCCCGGGACGACAATTCCTATGTGACTTTCAAGCTCCCAAACACCTCCTTTGCCATGAAGTGTAAATTCACGAACCTGAGAAAAGAAAAAAAAGGGAAACGGGGTGAGTATAAAAATATACTCAGTAAGCAACCTACTTGTAGGTTCTTAATCACATCCAAGTTCACGAGAGAACCACCAACTATACTCTGGACTCTAAAGTCTCAATGCTCTCAATTCACAGATCGAGGTAGAAGGACTTAACCTTGGTAGCGGTCCTCAACATTTGAAGATGAGGTGCTCCCTCATAACTACATGTACCCCTCGTACAATCCATCTAGAATTAGTCATTGCATGGTCAACGTCCTTCCATAAGACGGAACTCATCATGCAGGTGACCTTGACCTACCCGCATGATCAACATCTAATCGTAAGACGAATCCCCATGTAGAGTAGTTGATCTACCACTGAGTAACACTTTCCTAACAGACGTCTCGCCAAGCTCAACAGTACCACACCGAAGTAGGAAGGGAAGAGTAGCACCTCCCTAACTGGCGTCTCACCTAACTCAACAACACCACACTAGAGTAAGAAGGGAAGTGGAGTATACTCAAATGCTATACCAGCTACGGTCGGCTAAGAGGTTCTCTCTCTACACCTCAAGGTCCTAACGTGGTTCTCTTTGTCTCAAGGGTAGGTAGATTATTGAGTTAAGGGCTCTAGTTTCCAGAATCACTCAATCAAGGCTTATAAATCCATAACAGTCCAGGGTTAAAGGGTCTCTCCCTCTAAGCGTCGCTCACGACAACATGGACCGTATCGTCAGGAGGGTCCCCTATCTAAATGCCACCCGATTGCTACCAGAGTTCACCATAGGAAAAACACAATACTACAACTTATCAACCATATCATAGGTTCACGCAATCATTCAAGAGGAGTTTATGCATGAATAACAACAAATACAGCTATACAAGCTCAATAGGGCTACATCATCTATCAACACCCGGAGCGCAGATACACAAATCCTCTAGTCTACTAACGTAGAATGAACAGATAAACGCACTAGATAGATAGTCCAACAAGCAAACAAATATTGAGCATGAAATCTCATAAAGGAAGCAAGTCCAACAGATATATATTCAACTTCCTAAGTACAGAGGATCATTGGATGTAGCCACCTACGAGTAATCAGCTCTAGCATGCATGCAAAACCAAGTGCACCCTACAAGTATTACTTCCTAAATCCATATGGTTACTTACAATATGTCGCGTGCCTTCCCGAGCTTGATTACAGTCGTATCGGAGTCCAAAAATTATGATTTATTTATACAGAGACCTAGTTCACAGTAAAATAGGATTAGCACTGGAATTGGGACGAAAAACGGGTGAAAACAGGGCACTCACGCGCCTGCACGCGCTCACAAGGGACTCCCACGTGTCTACACACTTCCCTACATGCGGGTTCCACACGCAGGGCGTACGCGTGGTCAACGCGGGCAACGCACGGGCAGAGGCATGTTTCGAACCCCAGCGGACGTAGACTTACTCTCGAATTTTCTGGGCTTGACAAGTGTCGTACAGGGATTGGTGGAAGGTTTTTGGGTTGGACCGCGGGTCGTCGGGTTGCTTCACCGAGCACGGATCGGGTTGGATCAGCCGTCGGACGCATGTCAGCGGAGGCGTCAGACGCGTCTCTCCACTAATTGCTAGACGCATGTCCTCCCTTTCCGGCGACCGCATGTCCGTCACCGATTGCCTGAGTTCATCCAATTTCCAGATTCTGGTTAAATTCTATATCAACCTATTTATTTTGGATTTTTCTATCTTCCAAACCATAACTCGAATTAAATTGATTCCTTCGTAAGAATTCAAGATTTCAAGTCCACCTATCCTGATATATTTTTCTTGTATTTTTTTTATACTCACGGCGCTTAATAAATGGAGTCGAAAACCGAGAAAAATTCAGTTTCTTGCTTGTTGGGCTCGGGGGTGTTAGTCACAAAGATGGAGCGAATTGTACTTATTGGGCTCCGAGTGTTACATATCAAGTAAACTAACGTCTCAAATGAATTGCTAATATATTATATGTTGTTTAATCTATTTAAATATTAAATATAGGAGAGTTAAATGAGTAATTTTTTATTTTTTTTATTTAGGGATTTAGATATGCAAAAGATTAAATAATTTTATTAAATTAAATATATTTTTATTTAAAAATAAATAAATTCACCCCTTTTTCAACATTTGGAGAAATTTGAAAGAACAAATACATCTATATATATATATATATATATAATGCAATTTTTTAAGAAAATTTTAATTTTTTTTGTGTGGAGAAATTTATGAGTCTTATAATTTAATTTTAATATTATGCACATAATTATTAAAATTATTGTATTTTTTATTTTAAAAAATTTACTTTTGGTCTCTAAAATTTAGCTTCATAAATTTTTTTTATATCTCACATTTTAATTGAACTATAAGATACATGTATTTTTTTAAAAAATAATTTTAATTTTTTTTTTTTTTTTTGTAAGTATATGTATTTATAGTTTTTTTCAACAAAGATTAAAAAAACACCTATAAACTTTCAAGTTTAGAAATATCTTAACTATTAGTTTTGGATACATACCTTTAATTTTTCTTAAAAAAGAAAAATCCAAAATAATTTTACCATTAGTGCCACATCTAAAAAATAATAATGAACTTTCAAAAGTAATATTAGAAAAGAGATAATCTATGAGGCGTCAATAGATAGTTTAATTTCCATCTATATGTCGACTGTAAAAGTTTTTTTATTTTTATTTTTATTTTTATAAGAGTGAAGGGGTTAATGGTACCTTTAAACTTTCACCGGTATACTAACTCTAACCTTATTTTTGAATTACTTTAAAAAGCTAAAGGGTATAATGAAACTTCTTTAAGTTCAACTCCTATTTTGAAACATTGCTCAAAGTTCAACCATAATTTTGAAACAAAGTATTAACGGTTTTAAAACTATGGGTAAGAATATTTTGTAGAATTCTTTTAAAAAATTTAGAAGTATTATTGAAACTTTTGAAATTTTAGAGGTATTTTTAAGATAAATATAAAGTTTAGAGATATTTTTATTAATTTAGCTAAAACTTTATAGGAATAAAAAGAGAGGGAAAAGGAGATAGAAGAACATATATACAGAAAACCTTTGATTTTGGAAGCGTATCAAATACGATTTGACAGTGTAAAGAAAGTATGAGAATAACTTATTCTCATATCCCATCTTTGAAAATGTGTATTAAACAAAAGATTTTACTTCGTTTCCTCATTTTTATGTTCATTTCATTCTAATCTTCGTTCCAGTAACAAAATTAAAGTGGTAGCTTTCAAACTAGTTTGAATGGGTGTAAAGAAAACACAACAATAATTTATTCTCATATCCACCTATTAGACACCTATAAATATAAATTTGTGAGTAGAAGTCTAAATTGAGCTCGATTGAAAAGGTAATCTTAAATTATATCTAAAAATGTATAAGATTTCATTTTTTAAACATTCACAAGAACAAGACAAAAAGTCAAGAAAATGTCATTCGTGCCATTTTTTTTTAATTCTCTCTTATTTTTCAAAGATTAAAAAAAAAATTATTCTCTCTCGAATATGGTACGATATTGATTATTCTCTCTAGAGGGAATTTTAAGTGAAAAATATTCTCTACCTAAGTAATTCCAAGTTGTACTAAAGGAATCAAACTCCAAGTATCAACTTGGATAAGTGTCAATTTTTATTCTCCATTTGAACCTGAATTCAAGTGTCTCATATGAAAAGTTTGATTTAAATGTCTAACATATCTATATCTATTGTATTAAGAAGTGTTCAAATACATATCCATATCTATTGTATGAAGAAGTGTTCAATACATAGCCAACAAGTATTGAAGAGGGAGATTAGAAGAATTAGTTAAAAATTTGGAGTTATCCTAAGGGTGACCCGAAGTAAATAACACACTCATCATGATTCTTAATTAGATTCAAGGTCCTTAGGCATAAATCTTAGGGTTAACAATTTGGGGCATTTTAGACATTTTCCTTCATCCACAACTTATAAAAGAGATGAAATAAATTGATAAATTAATAAATTTATACTTCAATTTTCAATACAAAGAAACAATGATGGAAACAAGTTGCGGAAGAAATTGTCCACAACTTATATAAGACCATCAACGTATCCATTTACTTTCATGGAGCAGTGCGGTGACCTCACAACAAACTATTCTTTTGCCTCTTACTAAAGAATACTATGTGCTCGCCGCTCCAAGTGGCATGCGGCTATTTTTCTAGGGGTTCTCACGTATGAGCAACACCTACATCAATTTTAGTTTAAAATAGTTTTTTGTTTCTTCTATTATCAAAATCAATATTTTGTTTCATTTAATATGTTTACAAGTATGTGTTTTGTATATGGTCTTTAAAGGACCCCAAATTTCACCTTATAAGTATGTGTTTTGTATATGGGTAACATTGGTCTTCATTAGGATCACAACGAACTAAATAAAACAGCTCTAAAACTTTAAATTCAATAACGAATAACTTGGGTTTGACTCGTGATAGGACCTCTCTTCTTATCTCTAATATTAATTTATAGAACATGACTCAACCGACATAAAACATTAAAATCATGCAAAAGTAAGTTTTAACAAGGGGTTCTATGGTGTAGTGCTATGAATTTTATGTTCTCGAGGAAGAACTGAGTCTTATATTCCTTCTTGAGGTCTTACGATGACTTTATGATGCAAAACTATGGTATTGCTTGAAGGTGAATCATTTCAGTTTGTTAAGCCTAACATGAGCTTGGCTTGAGGTGTGGTTCTCTACAGCCCTCATTGTTAACTCACTCTAGTGCTCATCTCAACCATGATGTCGTTTAACAAGAGAGACCTCGAAAACAGCCAGAATATTGCATTAACCATTTGAATCACCTAACTCCACTTTCAAATTGAACCAAATATCTATAACATAACAATAACAAATGTACAAAGTTCATAAAAGTCTTTTTAATCTAATAGACTATTGAACTTGACCATTATAGTGCCTTTCAAATGTAGGTAAAGTTTAAATATAATTAGTAACAAAAGATGAAACTATAAAATAAAAAGAAATAAACAAAATAATATTCCATTACTGGGAATCAAACTCAAGTATCCTGGGTGAAACCCAGATATCCTAACCGCTGGACAACAATAGATATCCTAATCGTTGAAGAGATGTCGAGATGTCCGAGATGTCCGAGATAACTGAGATGTCTAAGATTTCTTAGATGTCTGAGATATCCGAGATGTCCAAGATGTCTAAGATGGCTGAGATGTCTGAGATGTCTGAGATGTGTGAGATTTTTTAGATGTTCGGATGTCGGAGATTTCTGAGATGTCTGAGATGTCCGAGATGTCTGAGATTCTGAGATTTCTGAGATGTCTGAGATGTCTTAGATGTCCGAGATGACTGAGCTGTCCGAGAAGTCTGAGATGTCTGAGATGTTTGAAATATTTGAGATGTTTGGGATGTCTGAGATGTCTGAGATGACTAGGATGTCTGAGATATCTAAGATATCCGAGATGTTCGAGATTTCTGCGATGCTTTAGATGTCGGAGATGTCTGAGATGTTTGAGATGTCTTAGATGTCTGAGATGTCTGAGATGTAGGAGATGTCGGAGATGTCTAAGATGTCGGAGATGTCTTAGATGTTTTAGATATTTGAGATGTCTTAGATGTCTGAGATGTCTGAGATGTCCTGATGTCTGGGATGTTCGAGATGTCTTAGATGTCTGGGATGTTTGAGATGTTGAATATGTCTGGGATCTCTGAGATTTTTGAGATTTCTGAGATGTTCGAGATGTCCGAGATGTCCGAGATGTCTGAGATGTTTGGGATGTCTGAGATATCTAAGATGTCTGAGATGTATGAGATTTTTTAGATGTCTGAGATGTCTGAGGTGTCCTAGTTGTCTAAGATATTTGTGATATCTAAGATGTCTGAGATATCCGAGATGTCTGAGATGTCTGAGATCTCTAAGATGTTTGAGATGTTTGAGATGTCCGAGATGTCTGAGATGTCCGAAATATCAAAGCTGTCCGAAATGTTTGAAATGTCTGAGATGTTCGAGATGTTCGAGATGTCTGAGATTTTTGAGATGTTTTAGATGTAGGAGAAGTCTGAGATGTCTGAGATGTCTGAGATGTCCGAGATTTCTGAGATGTTCGAGATGTCAGAGATGTTTGATATGTCTGAGATGTTCGAGATGTTTGAGATGTCGGAGATGTCGGAGATGTAGGAGATGTATGAGATGCCTGAGATGTCCGAGATGTCCAAGATGTCCCAAAAGTCTGAGATGTCTTAGATGTCTTAGATTTTTTAGATGTTCGAGATGTCGGAGATGTCTGAGATGAATGAGATTTCTGAGATGTCTGAGATGTCTTAGATGTCTGAGATGTCTGAGCTGTCTGAGATGTCTGAGATTTCTGAGATGTCTTAGATGTTCGAGATTTCTGAGATGTTTAAGATGTTGGAAATGTCTAAGATGTCGTAGATTTCTGAGATGTCTAAGATGTCGTAGATTTCTGAGATGTCTAAGATGTTCGAGATGACTGAGTTGTTCGAGATGTCTGAGATGTCTGAGATGTCCAAGATGTCTTAGATGTCCGAGATGTCTTAGATGTCTTAGGTGTCTTAGGTGTTTTAGATGTCCGAGATGCCTGAGCTGTCCAAGATGTCTGAGATGTTCGAGAAGTCTGAGATGTCTTAGATGTCTGACATTTCTGAGATGTTTGAGATGTCTGAGATGTTTGAGATGTCTGAGATGACCGGGATGTCCGAGATGTCTGAGATGTCTGAGATGTCCGAGATATCTGAGATGTTTGAGATGTCCGAGATGTCTGAGATGACCGAGATATCTGAGATGTCTGAGATGTATGAGATGTCCGAGATGTTCGTGATGTCCGAAATGTCTGAGATGTCTTAGATGTTCGTGATGTCTTTGATGTCTAAAATTTTTTAGATGTCTTAGATGTTCGTGATGTCTGAGATGTTCGAGATGTCAGAGATGTCTGAGATGTCGGAGATGTCTGAGATGTCTGAGATGTCTAAGATGTCTGGATGTCTGGGATGTCTGAGATGTCTAAGATGTCTGGATGTCTAAGATGTCCGAGATGTCTGGGATGTTCGAGATATCTCAGATGTCTGAGCTGTCTAAGATGTCAGAGATATCTGGGATGTCTGAGATGTCTAGGATGTCTGAGATGTTGGAGATGTCTAAGATGTTGGAGATGTCTAAGATGTCGGAGATGTTCCAGATGTATGAGATGTCTAAGATGTCTTAGATTTCCTAGATGTCTGAGATGTCTGAGATGTCGGTGATTTCTGAGATGTCTGAGATGTCGGAGATGTCTCAGATATCTGAGATGTCCGAGATGTCTGAGATTTCCGAGATGTTCGAGATGTCCGAGATGTTCGAGATGTCTAAGATGTCTGAGATGTTTCAGATGTCTGAGATGTCTGGGAGGTCTGGGAGGTCTGAGATGTCTGAGATATCTGAGATGTTTGAGATGTTTGGGAGGTCTGAGATGTCTGAGCTGTCCAAGATATCTGAGATGTCAGAGATGTCAGAGATGTCTGAGATGTCTGAGATCTTCTATATGTCTAAGATATCTGAGATGTTCGAAATGTCTTAGATGTCCGAGATGTCTTAGATGTCTTAGATGTTTTAGATGTCCGAGAAGTCTGAGATATCTTAGATGTCTGACATTTCTGAGATGTCTTAGATGTTTGAGATGTTTGAGTTGTCCGAGATATCTGAGTTGTTTGAGATGTCTGAGATATCTGAGATGTCTGGGATGTCTGAGATGTCTGGGATGTCTGAGATATCTGAGATGTCTAAGATGTCTTAGATGTCCGATACGTTCGAGATGTTTTGGATGTCTAAGATGTTTGAGATGTCTGAGATGTCCAAGATGTCTGGGATGTTCAAGATATCTCAAATGTCTTGGATATCTGAGATGTCGGTGATATCTGGGATGTGTGAGATGTTCGAGATGTATGAGATGTTTGAGATGTCTTAGATTTCCCAGATGTATGAGATGTCTGAAACGTCTGTGATTTCTGAGATGTCTGTGATGTCTGAGGTGTCTGAGATGTCTGAGATGTCCGAAATATCTGAGATGTCTAAGATATTAGAGATGTCTGAGATGTCTGAGATGTCCAAGATGTCTGAGATATCTGAGATTTCTAAGATATTAGAGATCTCCGAGATGTCTGAGATGTCTAAGATGTTAGAGATGTCCGAGATGTTCGAGATGTCTGAGATTCCTGAGATTTCTGAGACGTCTGAGATGTTCGAGATTTCTGAGATGTTCTTGATGTCGGAGATGTCTGAGATGCCAGAGATGTATGAGATGTCTGAGATGTCTGAGATGTTTGAGTTGTCTGAGAAGTCTCAGTGTCTTAGATGTCTGAGATGTCCGAGATGCCTGAGATGTTTGATATGTCTGAGATGTTTGAGATGTCTTAGATGTTTGAGATGTCTTAGATGTTTGAGATGTCTGAGTTGTTCGAGGTTTTTGAGATGTTCGAGATGTCGAAGATGTCTGAGATGTCTAAGATTTCTTGGATGTTTGAGATGTCCGAGATATCTAAGATGTCTGAGATTTCTGAGATGTCTAAGATGTCTTAGATGTCTGAGATGTCTTAAATGTCTGATATGTCTGAGATATCCAAGACTTTCAAGATTTCTGAGATGTTCGAGATGTCGGACATGTCTGAGATGTCCGAGATGTCTGTGATGTCTGAGATATTTGAGATGTCTGAGATGTTCGAGATTTCTAAGATATTTGAGATGTCGGAGATGTCTGAGATGTCGGAGATTTTTGAGATGTCTGAGATGTCTTAGATGTCCGAGATGACTAAACTGTCCGAGACGTCTGAGATGTCTAAGATGACTGAGATGACTGAGATGTTTGAAATGTCTGAGTTGTCTTAGATATCTGAGATTTCTAAGATGTCTGAGATGTCTGAGATGTCTTAGATGTCTGAGGTGTCTGAGATGTTTGAGATTTCTTAGATGTTCGAGATGTCGGAGATGTCTGAGATGTCCGAGATGTTTGAGATGTCTTAGACAATAAATGAGCCTATAATAAAAGACAAACATGATACGTAAGGAAAGTCGTAATAGAAGACAAGTATCTTATAATAAAAGATCAAATATGATATATATGGTAAACGATAATGTAGGACTAAATATCGTTAACATAAAGAAAGACTTCTTTACTCAAGAACCATTAGTATGTAATCATAAGGAAGAGTATTTGAAGCAT